ATTAGCTTGTTACAAACAGTTGAAAAATATGGTAGATATTTTCACTTTCATTCTGTTCAAGTTAATTCTAAGCTTTCTTTTTTCACTAGATATTAATTTGGGTCGATGGTCACAAATGGCACCAATGTTAACTCCACGTTCAGGTACAATTATATCATCGCTTTTTTTTTCTAATATCTAAATAATTCAATATACATCTCTTTATTTAATTATTTCTTTTTTATAAGGAGCTGGTTGTGCAACAGTTGATCATTATATATTTGCTTGTGGTGGATTTGATGGAACAATTCATTTATCAAGTGTAGAACGATATGATAGTCAAATAAATCAATGGACAAATGTGACAAGTATGTCTGTTCGACGATGTTATTGTGGTTCAGCATTTATTCGAGGTCGTATAGCTGTTATTGGTGGTTATGATGGAACATCTTTACTTGATACAGTTGAAGTTTATGATAGTGATAAAGATGAATGGACAATTGAAAGTCAAATGTTAACACCGAGATGTGATTCAGGTTTTGCTTGTGTCGCTTATCGACAATAGCATATTTATACATATGTATACATTTACAGATATATATATATATTAATAGTCTGTTTTTCTTTTTCTTTATTACCTATTTTTTTTTTGCACTGTGATGTCTATTGTGATACGATAACTCACTGTTTCCTATCAGTTCGTGTTTGTCTTCTTGTATTCCATCTAACGATGAAAGTAAGTGAACCAAGAGGGAGAGGAGGATAAAACTCCCTAGCTCTACTACTGATTCCTTCTTACATATATTTATACATACGTATAAAGAAAACACTTGTTAATAAACAGAGAAGCATAATAAAATTGATATAGTTGGTATTTATGAATATTCGATTTTGAAATTGATAATGATCAAATTTCGTTTAGTAAACTTTTAAAATCCATTTTGACATTGAATACAAGAAGAGAGGCAATTCAATGGTCTTATCGAACAATTATTCTATTGTTAATCGTATATGTGTATGAAAGAAAAGACTTTCAAGGAAAGAAAAAGAATATCTTTATGATCGGGCATTCTCTATTCGAATACTTATTCTTTGATTCCACATGATACAAGAATGTTTTTGATATTATTCGACGAAGTGACGTATTATCAAAGATATTTCAAGGACACTCTGTTAGATATAACACACAAAACTTGGAACACATCGATGAAGCTGAGATCCATGTATATATGATATGTGCTGTTTAATGCTATCTAGGATTTTCGTTTGGATGCAGATAGTGTGCATGAAAGTATCGAAAAATTGATTGTTGTCATTGTCAACATAGCTATTGTCGAGTTCTCTGCTTTAATTTTCTACCTGATTACAATATTCCTAATTCACAGGTTAAAACCGATGTGCAAAAAACAAAAGAAAAAGCAGCTAACGGAGAAGAATATGATCGAACGAAATCATATATGCGCATTTTTCTTCCATTCGACGATTATGAAAGATTCAAAGTATTGAAGTATATACCTATCTTACTTCAACGTTTTTTTCATTCCCTTCAATTCAAGCCATTCACATTATTTAATGTTTTCTCTTGACACGCTAAGTATTGCGAACACACAGTTCGGTGTAATTTAATACTACATGTTTTCTTATCATGAAGATACTAAAAGGTGATTCATATGTTACGTCATTATGAATTAGAAGTCGTGCTGAGAAAACATAACAGTTTGAAGTATTGTTTGAGAGATATTTTATTTTTTCGTTCTCTAATGTGTTATTGACTATATGATTCCTTGATTTTTCGTATAAAGCAAAGAAATTATAAAAGTAGTAGTGTTTGACACTGATTAGAATACAACTATGAAAAAAGACTGGTTTTTCTCGGAACATTGAGACAATCATATGGTTCGTGATTACTGTTTCGAACAAGCAGGAATCAAATCATATTTCTCGCTCCTTTCAGGAGAAGACTCTGCAATAGGCTCGGCTCATACGAATATTGTGTTTTCCTCAGCAAAGATAGCTAACAATTTAAAGAAGTTCGACTAATGATAATAGAAGAGACAAGGTATTCTAATGCAGAGAATAATGCAAATTCGGATATTTTGTGAAGTTTTATAGGACAGATCAGAAATACACGATAGATATCGTCTGAATGAAAAAAAAACAAGTGTCGAAATTTCCTGTATCCGTCAGTATTTAATACAATTCAATGATGAACATTGAAGAAAATTGTTGTTTCTCAAACTGATGTTTCTTCAGTCAAACAAATGAAATCTATAAATTTTCTATCAAACTCTACTGCATATTTTCAACTAATGACACAACTATTGTTGGAACCCCTACTCTCTTGATGTAATTGAAGAGGAGAATTTTTTAATCGTCTTCTTCTCTCGTTCCAAACTGAATATGAAATGGAATACTAGAATATTGCTGCTAAAAATACTTAATCTTCACCATGTAATCGCTGTTTCTTTCATGAACAACTCAACAACAAATTCACTTGTTTCAACAAAAATTCCAGTTACAATTTGAAGAACTTCGAAATTCAATCAAACAATTAAAAGAAATGCAATTACAAAATTATTTACAAATACTTAAATATGTAGATGAACGACACGGGAAATTTCACTATTTCTTTTAACACTTGCAAGTATCTACTTTGGTTAGCATATTCTTTTCATTTCTGATTAGTGGTCATGACGATGCTAATTATATTGAAAATCGTAATTCTGATGCTGTTGATCATGTTCAAAATCGCTGTCGTGGAATTCAACATGACGGTAGTCAATATTGTAATGATTAGCGTCCCATTACTCGTCATTGTTCTACAGGCCATGGTAGCCGTTATCAAATTCAAATTTGATCACTGTTAAAAGAAATAGTGAAACTTACTATATTATGCTCCTAAATAATGAAGTAGTTTTGAGTTAATTTGTAATTGCATTTGGTTTAGTTTTTTTTATATTTGATTTCGACGTTCTTCTAGTTACTGGCATACCTGCTCCTAAAGCATTATGAAGTTTCTGCTTAAATGGTGTAAAACTTTACCACAAACATAGGATATCACGCTGAAGTACTTGTATTTGTCCATTACCATTAATGAGCTGCTACTCCAAGAAATTGACACTAGATGGCGTAGATGCAAATAGTTTAGCACCTGAGCCAATGATTTCGGCATCAGATCCATGGGTTTTCGACAGGAACCAGCTAAAGAGACTATTTTCAATGGAAACTGAAGCAAGTGATAGAAATTTGAAGGCAGAAATTCTGTGATTGGATCTGGTTACCAAATCCCTGTTTCCAAGTTCCTACCATTTTTCTTCGAGACGATCATATCCACCATCGGAAACGACTATAAAATGGTGTATTGTGTCGCTGAATATCACAGTATTTCGTGATAATCCGTCATCCTGTTTTAGAAGTCATTTGGTTTGATATTAAACGGCCATTGTTTTGCTTTCTATTTCCGTTTTCGAAGGTGACTAAGTAAGATTACATTCTAAAACTAGTTGTCACTGATTTATACAATTTAAAGAGTTGTATTGTTGAAATTAGGCATCAATATTGTAAAATAGAAAAATAAAAGATAAACATAATTTCCATGTACAACTTTACAATCCATTGTATTAGAGACTATTTCAATAGTCAGTTTTGCAGCGACAAAAGAACATAGTAAACAAACTCATATCTTCAATTATTTACAGAGAAAAAAAAAGATCATAAAAATAATATTGTTATCAGTTCAAAAGAGAGATTGTGATACTCAACGACAACTTTTCGTAGTTTGTCGACAAAAGTATAACGTTATTTGATAAAATAAGCTTGTCAAAGTAATCTTGCATATTAAATACAATATAGAGTAATTCAATTTTACAAAGAGTAAATAACAATCAGAACCTAAACATTTTCTAGTGCATAGATTTACTATTAATTTCATCAGATGGATAGAGGTCATAAACAGTAATTATAACACAAATGAATCAACACCTGGTAGATCAATCTCTTATTGTAATACAATGATTGTCCTTCGATTTCACATACTGTTAAATGATTTATCATATATCTATTGCAAGTGGACATGTAAGTAAGTTTACGAGACGACGAGAAACATAACTCATATTATTAGTCTGTTAATTTACAGTTTTCCTCATTTTCTATTTACGTATGCCAATCAATCCTGTATTGAAACATAATATTCACAAACATCAATTCACAAGAACCAGAGCTATTCTCCATACACATCCTGAAACATAACGAAGCAATAGATATGCAATTTTCTCATATATCTTACATCATTCTTGACTTCATTGATATGTGTTTAGAGTTTGTATTAATCAGACTTCAGCCTTCTGCTTCCTGAACTCCATCTGTTGTGCAAGGCTAATATGCAGAGAAATATAACAAACCTTCATGAAGATATACGATACATTTATTTATAGTTTATGATTACAGTACGAAGTGAAATATAAACTAAATAAAAATCATTACCTGTTTTTAAAGATGATGACACCGATGATGATTGAGATTGGAATAAAAACAACTGCGAATTCTATCATAAAAAATATAAATTTTTACGATAATGATAAAGCTTTGAACAAAACCAAGCATTCGTTCTATGAAAATTTGAAATATGTGTGATAAAAAGCATTATTTTTTGACCATAAGAACTGCAAAGCACACAAGAGTAAACATTAATTTGACAACCATCAAAGTGAAAATGAAGTCTTTTTTTCTGAGAAGATAATCTTTATTGAAGCATTTTTCTATCTTGTGTATCTAGTAGATTTAATGGATCATCTCGTTTAACATGAACAGAATGTTATGATGAATAAACTGATCTGTAAACTATTGGTGAAGATATCAAAGTTGCCAGATCTTCTAAAAAGCAAGAAAAGTTTCTGAAATTTTAATACTTTTGCAATGACTTTCGAATCTTAATACTTCTTTGTCACTGTTTCCGAATTCTGAACTTTTTTCGATCACACCTTCGTTAGAGTGTTGATGCGGGTGCGGGTCTTACCTATATCCACACATCTATTCTTCATAAAACTTTTTCGACAAATTGAGCATTATGAACACTGCTATCATTTTGACACTATATGATCATTATTTACTCTTTATGTAACATCGCTTAACCTGCATATATATATATATGATTGGTTTTGTGCTTTTTTCTGTGAACGAATTTTGCATTTAGTGGAAGAGTTTGACACTAAGTGTCTGTTTTTTGTATTAACTAAACAATATATTCATTTTATTGTCTGTCTTTATAGTTAAATATTTTTAAAAATAAAGTATAACTCAATGAACAGACACCCACTATAGTATTTGATACCAACATGCTAACATAATAGCTGTTATTTCGCTAAAAAAATATGCCTTCTAAATAATCTCTGATTCTTAAGCTTTTTATCTGACTGCCCTGAAAGATATGCATGTACGCATACAAGGAGTCAATCTTGTTTTCTATTTTTGTTCATATCTTCGTAAATGTATATCTATGCAATACACTGATGAATATCAGATCATTTTAGATTGAGATAAGATGTTTCTTTTTCATCACTAATATTG